GTGTTATAAAAGTGCATTTGTTAAATATTTACACATAAAGTTCCCTGTAATATCTGCAGTTGTCATTTGTGAAGTTTAAATATATTTATGATGTTCGAATACAAACAATTTACACATATGTACTTGTTCAGCTGGAGTTAACTTATTTATATACTCCTGCCAGAATATTATTAATTGGGGCAGGTTATATTTACAAACTTTTTTGTTTACAAACTCTTACAAACTACATTATGTTCTCCCGGGAGAACATAGTGTAATTTGTAAAAAAAATTCAAAAAAGTTTGTAAACGGATCCTTCCCCTTGTTAATTAGTTCCCTGTTTTTGATCTTGGCCTGGATCAAAGTCACAAATTAGCTTTGAGAAATATGGAGCTGTTTGCATTTTAATATGTCTTAAGGTAGACAATAATCTTCCATCTTACAAATAGATCAAGCAAATAGCAGAGCTAGAAAAATTTTCGTGAGAGGAGGTGAAGGATCAATACATAATTATATTCGAATAACCCTTCAAGTTTTCTTAATGTATAATCAATAGTAAGCTCGAAAATTGAAAGATGAGCTTGAAAGGAGGCAAGATCCACATTGGCAGCTATGGCAGGTTATGCAGAGATAGTCTTAGGCTCTATTGAATTGATTGAGATATATCCACATTAGCAGCTATGCCAGGTTCATTTCCACTACTGCTTGATGACCCATTCATAATAAAGGACTTCAGATGTATTGCAGTACATGAAGATAAAGTTGTTAGTCTTAAATTTTATTCAAATTAGTGTTATTTCTCCTATAGTTTTTGGGCTGAATGGTGTTAATGTGCAGGTAAAAGTGGGCCAAAACTAATGAAGTAAGCCCAAGTTGGTAAAAAGAGGTAAAAAAAGGGAACTTTAACTTTTTATTAATTATTTTTCTTATTATATACAGAAAAGGGCACATGGCAATGAAAGATGAGATGAGATGGCAATTTGAGGACCATTGGATGCCTCTTTTGATTTGACGGACAGCAAGCATTTGAAGTTGTGGCTTAAATACACCGGAGGATGAAAGACTGTATGCAAAATCGGAAGGAGAAAAATTCCAGCAGAGTTTCAGTGCAGAAAAATTGGATAAATTTCTGAAGGTGTCAGTGTCTATTTATAGACACTGACCGATAATAAAAGGAGTGGATCTTTGTTTTGTAATAAAAGGAGTGGAACTGAGATTTTAGAAAGTTAGAGTTTTTTGTTGAATAGAGTTTTAGTTTCGTTGTAATCAGTTTCATATTTTGAGCGCTTAGTTTTTAGAGTTTCTTGGAGACAATGCACAAGGAAGAACACCACTCTTGAAGGGATTCAAGAAGGCAAACTTTTAGCGCAACTCGTGGTTTTACTTTTCTGTTCTTAAGCTTTTCATAGTTTTACAATATGAATTTGTTAAGAACCATATTGGTCTATATCTTCAACTCTTTACTATTTCTTTTCTTTGTGAATGAAAACCATGTTTACTGTTATTTCATATTTCATTTTAGCTTTAATCTTCAACATGCATTGCTAAATCCGTTATTTAGAATTCTGATGAAAATGACAAGTACCTATTTCTGATTCTAATTGCTATGCATGTTCTTGATGTTTGATTAGTGAAAAATTCCTTGATTTGAGTTCCATGGGAACGGGCTTAAAGATTATTGCATGAACTTGTATTGGGAAATTTGAGTTTATGCATTTCATTAATTCAAGATTTCAAGATTAGGAATAAGCTAGGAAAGAATTTGATTACAAGTCATCAATAAAATGATTCAAGATTAAGGGATTAATTTGAATCATTTTAGAACTGAATTTGGGAAAGTTTAGTGAAGTTCTACAAAAGTCAGATTCCATCAAGATAGGTGCTACAACAGTTAAAACGCAGACATGCATTTTTTAAGGGAAAGTCATTGAAATCAGAATTCTAGACTTTTAATATTCATTTTTACTCATATAAACGTGTTCTTACCATTCTTACTATAGTTTGCATTTTAGAAAATATAATTTTCATTGAAAAAGCAGTTAAATTCACATTCAAGAAAATAAAAAAAGAATAAACGAAAGAAATTGAATTTCTCGTTCCCAGATAACTAACGATACTTGAATTCTTTTTTGAATTCTATACTTTTTACAAATATCCAAACAACAAAATATCATTGTTCAAGACTCTCAACGCAACTATATGTAACTGAAGATCATAAATTAGTTTATGAACATTAATGATATCATTTGATTTATTATTGAGAAAACCATAAACTTTAATGGGAAGTCTACTAAAAATGAAAAATGGCATATCAGAATCAATTTCCTGATTTTAAATCATGTCCATATGATAAGGTACAAATCATGTGGACTCACCTTACAAGTAAGCTCTCCTTGGAAGCCACCACCAGCCACCACCAACAAGTACAAATAGTGAACTATAAACAACAACGTAACCTCTGTCCATTTCACATTCTTATTCCCGTAAGCAGAACTAACTCGTCAAGTAGATATTTTTTGAATACGTCTACACAGCTTTGTCGCTGCAGTAAGTTACATCAAAGTTCTTCCTCACATTATAAAAGTGGCTTCAGGCATCAGTTAGTTATTCACCGGGTAATTATTTCAGTTCAAAACAAACACTATAAGGATAAATCATCAAGTAGATCTTTTGAAAACCCCAGAAAGCTAGCAACTATATCAAAACTCAGAATTTTCCTTATTCCAATTTGTTTTCTTAATCAAATCAATTCTGATGCAGAAATATTTCCGGAATAAGTTTTAGAGATCACACTAAGGGGATCTGAAAGCTTGACCAGCGTATCACACACTTCCAAGTTCCTCTTTAATCCGAAGAAGCTGAAAAGAAATTGAACACATTCCTGAAGGAAAATGTGTATTAGATCACTCCATTATCATGCTAACCATGCACATAGTATTCAGCAATTTAATTTTAAGCACTCTATAAACAACTACTTTTCAAAGATAAAGATGTTTTATCTAAAAATCTAAATTCATAGTTTGAAACCAAGTAGTAAATAGAAAATTTTGACTATGAGCAATTTATTTATTTTTGTATTATATAAGCAATTTATTTTAACCCTGCATAAGTATACCCAATTTCTTGTTTTTTCTTCTATCAATTTGCTGACAAGTAGCATTTATTTGGGTCTAGCATTTGATAACAAGTAGCATTTTATTTGATGTCATAAGCTGACTAAAACCTTGAATAGAAAAGGAGGAGTTACTTAACCCATGATTCTAGTTACCTCATTATACTTTGCCAATCGCTCGCTACGGCAAGGAGCACCAATCTTAATCTGGAGAACAGAACTTGGACAATCAACATGGTGATGACATCATGGCACAATTTTTACAGTAGTTAAAAATATTTAATTTACCAAATGATACTACTATAAAAGTCGCACAGTATAAAAGTGTGTGAGAGATTGGTGAAAATATAATGTTCTTCAAGTTGCATTAAAAAATGCAATTTTTTTGATGTATTGCACCAAAAATATGTTCTTATGCTGTGAAACATCCTTTGATAAGAGGAATTATACTATTATAGACGCCAAAGAATGCATTATTATAAATATATATAGTATCTCAAACTCTCTTATCAAAACATGTTTCAAAGCATAAAGTCCATCAGAAGAATCTAGGAGTCCCATAAAAAGCCTGCAATTGGATGCCCTTTTGGCATATTTTATCTTTTTGAATGATATTATTTAAATTTTTACTTCTTAACATTAACAAATAATTCTCCAAAAAAAATTTAGTGTGTAAATATCGAAAAATTATGTGAAATTTTTGAGCCAAAAAAAATCACCTATTAATTTTTCTATTAAAAAGGGACTACCGGATCGAGACCACATTATGTTATAGAAAAAAGTGTGTATCATTTTAAAGAACACAAAGTTGTGTCATTTTAAGTGAGAAAAAGAAATAGATCTCGAGAGAAAGAGTGGGTGGGAAAAGTTTTAAAGGTGTATTTGTGAGAGTGAAATGACACAAGTTGTGTCATTTAAAATAACACACATTTCCCCTTATATTATATTATTTTTTTAAAAACCTTTTTTAAAAACTACATTCCGGTTCCGCTCTCTTCCATTTCCATTGTTGTTCTCAACAAAGACAAAGAACACACACACACACTCTCTCAGTATGTTTGCGAGCTCCTATCTCTATTCAATAGATGTTTGTTTTTTGTACTTTTTTTACAATTTCAAGATTTTTCAAAAGAAGATTGCGTTTGGTGTTGGTTCGAAAAGAACTCAGAGGTTTCTGAGTTTAAACGCTCTTATAGTACCATTATTGTAAATTCAAACTGTATTTGTGAGAGATAAAACATACCAAATGAGGTGTCATTGCGTAGATCTCGAAAAGTTATATGTAATAAAAAAATTACCTTATTCGGATAGCCGAGTTAAAAGTTATGGCCTTCTGAAGTTTTACGATTAAACTGTTAACTTTCTGTGCCACGTGTTAATATTATACGAGTTACATCTAAATTAGGTGTGAGTGTCTTATGGGTCATGTTTAACTTAGACCTGACCACTCACGTCCAATTCGGGCGTAACATCCTGCAATAAATCCGTAAATAATATGAAAATAATTTTATATTCGTAATTATTTATTTAAATTGCAATAAATTAATTTTTTTTCCGGTATTCTTTTCTTATTTTGATGATCTATTATACAAATTCCAAACTAGTGATGTAATTGTATTCCCCACGAATTTTCACCTGCACTTCTATTCCTTTTTTAGGAGCCATTTCCGTCCACTCAAAGCTTCCAAGAATAATTAAATAAATAAAGCATACATTAACACATAAAGAATATGATTCTTTCATGCTTTCTTTTGCTTCATTTCTGAACAGCAGCTACCAGACTAGAGCATCTTCAACATGGAGTAAGAATCAGGCTTTGAATCAGAATAGAAACTAAAGGAATCAAAAGTAAGAGTAGAAGTGACAAGATTACTAAGGATATATTCTGCTGACAGCTAAATAAACACAACCATGAATTCCCAAAGTTGACAAATGAAGCTATATCTACACCCCAGGTAAGCAAAGGATATTAACATGATCAGTTGAGGAGGAAAGAGAAATCATGAGCAGCAACATGAACAATTTCACACCTTTGCCAGGGCCTTGGAGGAGAGGTGTTAGAGCCTATGATGTCCACACTTTCAATAATAGTGAATCCAATGAGGTGCCTGTGTTTTACAGATCTCACTCTACTCAGGCCACTGTAAGTATACTATGTTCTTGTTTTCAATACCTAGATTTTAGGATATAGCAGAAAAAGAGAGCCAAATTAAAATTATGTTCATCCAAGCAGAGAATGGAACTATAATGTTTGAGGATATCAACTTGTATTTAAGTTTGGTTCATGTTAGCAGGATGACAGGAGTTCAGGTGAACTAAATCCACTGCGGTTGTGGGAACTCAGAACTCCTTCAGGACTTCACAGTATACCGAAGTATGGCCAAATTCCAAGCTAATTTGCTTTTGTGTTTAGACTTCACATTAATTACTTCTATATAATATGGATAAGGTTCAACTTATTTTAAAATGAGTTTGTCTCTAAAGTAAGCTTGTAAGGATAATTTGAAGTAAATTGAAATCTTGTTCATTTTAGAAACAAATTCACTACAAGTAATACTCACTGACCAGTTTAACATTTTAGAAGAAATATAGACATGCTTGTTCTGGATTATCTACTAATATTCTATAAATGAAATTAGTGTGAGAAGATATGTTTGTTGAATTATCAAAAGCTGAAATTATTGACATATAGATGCTTGTTTCTATTGCTATAAATTTTATAGAATTAAGATGTATTAGATTTGATGTGACACTCTAATACGAATTTTGAAAAAGTCTCATCCCAAAAAGCTAACCTACGAAATAGGAAAGCTCAAACTCAATATAAACCCTACACCAGAATCGTCTGTTTCTCATGTGCCTTGCATCTTAATCGTAACACACTCATAGAGAAATCCTGCTAAAAATATTGCCAACAAATTCAGTACTTCACAATTTTTTTTCAACTAGTAAATTAATTAACAAGTGCCTAATGGTAGTAATGAAATATTCGTACCAACATGGCAGACAATGAACAATACGATTTGAATTTCATATTAAATCAACCCAACTCTTTTCTTTTTTTCTTCTGCTGCAGTAGGAGTAATGGAACATGCTATTTAGATGCATGAACTTGTGAATTTTAGGTTTAAGGGGAGAAGCCAAGCCTTGCTGGCTGATTTACCAAATTTTGAGCAATTTGCAGTTTTCCAGCACAACCTCATAGCAGACAACAAATTCATGTTCACAATGGTAACATGGGAAGGAGTTTCAACCCCAGGCACAGAGAGATTTTCCCGAGGTCACCTCCAAGATCCACAGTCCAAACATGCACACAAGTTCCCCCAGTGGTAGAAAACTCCAAATCAACAGCTTTGAGGAAGCTTAAGAAAGAAGTCTATAACCCTATCCCAAAATGGTTGGCTAAGAAAGTGAGCTTATATTATAGAGATAATGCTGTAGATGATTTGAAAGAGAGATTGAAAGAAAAGGATGAAGATGGTAAAAGGTGTGCTATTTGCTTGGATGATTTTAAGCCCAAAGAAGAGGTTATGGTCACTCCGTGTAACCACATGTTTCATGAGGATTGCATAGTACCTTGGTTAACAAGCAAAGGTCAGTGCCCAGTTTGTAGGTTTGTGATTTATGAGAGCAATGACATTGCCAATTTGGAACCAAGTGACATGGTTGCTGGTGAGCTTTTGTCAATTTTGAGAGCCATGGAAGAAGCTTTTCAATTGGGCAGTGTAACTCATATGTACACATAAGAATTTACTACAATTGGGAGGAAGGTTTACTTTCAAGTTCCAACTTATACTATAAAGTTTGATAGGTTGAAATTGTGAGTTTTTTTTTTTTTTTTGATAACAGAAATTGTGAGTTTTGAATGATAAGGGAAATGAAACAAACCAGAAATCAAGTTGTTAACCAATATTATTCATGCAAGTGATATGCTCTGTTCTCAACCAACTTTTTCTTATTCTTTTCATTTTACAGTATTGACGTAGTTCCAATATGTTTAGATAATAAGTGATAGTGTTAATCTAGAATTTTACTTAGAGCACCTTAAGATATTAAGTGAACATTTCTTTTACATATTTCATTTACTTGATTACTCAATTATGCCCGAATTTTGTTGTATTTTATCATTGATTAAGATCAAATAGAATATATTACCTTAATTAGTTAATACCATCCGATCTCGCCCTAAAAGAGAGTTAGGTTCTCCTCCATATTTCACGTGTCAAGATTATTCGTCAGGTGTCCGAAGACATTTCACGCGTGGGAATACGAGTAATTAATAGTAATAATTAAAAGAGAAAAAAAATCAGAGACTACATTGAAAAATCACTTTTATACAAGGGAAATGTGTTTTTCCTGCTATAAAAAATAAAGTTATCTCGTACACACTAAAATTATCTCATTTTGAGGGTTATGAAAATTAATGAATAATATTTTAATAAGGAAAATATTAACCTCATATGATAGGAGATAACAAATTTTTCCTAGACACTCAAAAAGGTGTGGAGCCCACTTTAATTTTTTTTTCTTTTCCTGTATAGCGGGACCCACATAAGTTTGTGAGTGCAACATGAGATATTTTATCTCCTATTGCATAAGAAAATATAATCCCTTTTAATAATTTTACTTATTTATTTGTTATATAAATTGTATTAAAATATTCTTCATTAATTCTCTCAACCTTTGAAATGATTTTTAAAATATCAATTATTAATCATCACACCCTCAAAATCACGTGATTTCGAGATTGTTGAAGATAATTTTATTTTTTGTGATAAGAAAAAAGATAAACCCTTTATATTATAGGATAAATAATTGGGGTAAATTTTTTATAACATTTACATAGAATATATATATATATATATATATATATATATATATATATATATATATATAAGATTTATTATTGTTACATTGTGGTAAAACGATTCTCTCAGAATAAATATGTTTTAAGTGTTATATATATATATATATATATATATATATATATATATATATATATATATATGATCAGAATTATTTTACACCAGTGTAAGTTACACTCTCAATTTTGTCCGTTGATCTGACTTATATCTAAGGGCTCAAATTTTTTAGTAACGTGAGCCATTGGATACAAGTGGATCAATGGTCAAGATTGAGTGTAAGACTTGTAACTCTTACACCGGTGTAAGAATATCCCGCCTCATATATATATATATATATATAAGAAGGTTATACTTACAACCTCTTACAACCATATATCATAATTGTTGATTTTCGTCAATCAACGGTTGTCATTTATTATGAATTAATAATTAATTAATGAGTTTAATTTGCGAAAATCATAACCGTTGATTGACAGAAATCAACGGTTATAATATATGGTTGTAAGAAGTTGTAAAAAAAAAAGTTGTAACTATAACCTCTCCCATATATATATATATATATATATATTACAAGATTTTTTGATATCGGTGTCAAATTAAAAATTTTGACGTCAAATCATAATTATTGATTTTCTGTCAATTTAACGATTATAATTCATTGAGCATGCTTATTAATTCTTAATAAATTGTAACCGTCAGATAGTTGAAAATCAACGATTAATATTTGAAGTTAAATTTTATATTTTAACATTATTGTTAAAGAATCCTACCATATATATATATACTTTCCCAAAAAAAAAAATATTCATAAAAAAAGAGCATGATTTTTGTATCACGAATGAGTAGATATACAGGAAAAGGGGGAAAAAAGAATTAATTATGATTGAATTATTAATATAAAGTTTATATTAATTATTATTAAATTCATTTAAAATAATATTTGATATTTTGATCCGTATACCTTTAAACGCAGGGGTAGGGCCGTCGTTTGATTCTCCTTTATATATATGCACGAGCTTCGCTGGGTGTTTTTGTTACTCTCTACCCTTCACCCCTGCCGCTGCATCAGCGTAACCTAGTAGCCTCCAAATCCAATGGTACACGCTTTGTTCGCTTGTGTTCTTCTCGTTCTTCCAAAATCATTGTCAATGCTTCACAAATTCGAATCTTCCTTCTTTTTTTGTTTTGTTTTGTTTTGTTGTAATTTGGAATGAACTGAACGCAGGCTTCCGAGAAGAAACTGTCAAACCAAATGAGGGACATCAAGGTCCAGAAGCTCGTCCTCAACATCTCCGTTGGTGAGAGTGGAGATCGTCTCACCAGAGCTGCCAAGGTTCACATCACTTCTTCTCATTGGTTCAATTTTTATTTTATTTTTTCATTTTTGTTTTCAATTTAAAATAATTTTTATTTTCTGTCTTGCAGGTGCTGGAGCAGCTTAGTGGCCAAACCCCAGTATTTTCCAAGGGTTAGTTCTAGATAAAATTTTATAAGTGGGTCGTTCAGTAATGCTGTTAATGAGAATGAATCTCAAAGATGTTTTAATTTAAAGTGTTGTTTTTTAAATGAATTTAATCATATTTTGGTATTCTATCATTTCTTTTGTATATTTTTCGAGTGAAATGAGTTTGATTTTTTTTTTTTATTCCAAATTTAGGGTTCGATGTCGTGTCTATTTTAGGGTTTGTCATGGGAGGTTCAATTCTATTTTATTTTTTCAAATTTCAATGTGAAAAGCTTGATAGCATAATGATAGTTTGAGTTTTGCAATTTTTGGTAGTTATAATAGTTAAATGTGAACATATTCTGTGGCTAAAGTCTCCGTAGTGCTGTTCTGGGACTCAAGTAATCGGGTTAATGTAATTATGTAATCATTAAAATATCAAATTTTCTGGTGTAACTTGATCCATAGGTTGTGGAAGAACTGAAGATATGAAGGACTTCTGATATCCCTTCTATTTGGAGTATTTCAAATGATATTTTACATGATTATTGTTGTTGTTCTTGTTATTGTCTTATACTGGTTATTGTATATTGGATATCTGTTGTGGTCTCTCGTCTTTGATTAGTTCATAAGTTTCTTCTTCTCTGGGTTTTGACAGCAAGGTACACTGTTCGTTCCTTTGGGATTAGACGAAATGAAAAGATTGCATGCTATGTCACTGTTAGAGGTGAAAAGGCAATGCAACTTTTGGAGAGTGGTTTAAAGGTGAAGGAATATGAACTTCTGAGAAGGAATTTTAGTGATACTGGGTGCTTCGGCTTTGGTATTCAGGAGCATATTGATCTGGGAATCAAGTAAGTTGAAGAACAACTCTTGGATTTCATGCTATTTTTAAATTTTTTCTCAGACAAACTTTTTAGCCCTGAAGGGGAGTTGATGATTTGATATAGGTTGTGGTACGGACTAATCATATTCAAAATTTTGGATCTATCATAACATATCTCTTTGGCTTTCTGCACCATTCCACTTGACTTGAACCCAATGCTAATTGGCTTAAAATTATGGGTGTTTCAGAATTTTCTCTCTTGTTGTTTTGCTTTATAATAAAGCTGTGTTCCGTGGTCTGATGGGTTTGGGGAACCAGGACTTACGTAAGCTAGATTGATTTATGTATGTTGATTTGTATATTAGTTTTTATGTGATGTTAAGTCTAATTAATTAATTGGTTTTGCAATTTGCGTACAGGCTTTTAAATGACATTGCCAAGTCTTTCATTTTTGGATTCCTGCACTTGTATTTTTATTTCAACTGACTTTTGGTTCATTCCCCTCATATATGTTTGATTATGTTTCCAATTTCTTTGATTATCAAGATTTAAAACTATATACAATATAGGTCCTTGACCCTTGGCTCTGCTTTAGGTATGATCCTTCAACTGGTATTTATGGAATGGATTTCTTTGTTGTTCTGGAGCGCCCTGGTTATCGTGTGGGACGTCGCCGTAGGTGCAAGTCCCGTGTTGGGATTCAGCACCGTGTCACAAAGGAGGATGCTATGAAGTGGTTCCAGGTGAAATATGAGGGAGTGATCCTTAACAAGTCCCAGGCAATTGTTTAGTTAGACTGAGTTTTCTTTAGGAGTATGTTACCAGTTTTGTCAAACTGTAGTTTTGATCTTTGAGGGTTTGTGTTTTGAGTCAATGTTTATGGTCATTTTAGTTTGTTTCGTGATAAAGCACGTGGATTAACAGTTGCCCTATTAAATGACTATTATGGCAAGAACTTTTGAACCTCCCGTAATGCAAACCAACAGTGTAGATTGTTTTTTTTTTTTTTTTTTTTCTTTTTTGCAACCAAATGAAGATAAGCCTGTGCAGAATATACTTTTGAGGGCCCTGATAAACGAGGCAGATCTCTCAATGCAGTTATCATTCGGCTACAAACCAAACTACTGTAGACTGACTGCAGTTAAGTTATGCTGTGTGCATACAACATAGTTCATTACACTTTTAGCACATCACCGGTGCAGTCAGTTGTTTATAATTCCAGTTAAAACCCTCTTCATCTCCCCCACCCTATCAAGTAAAGTTCTGCAGAATTATGACAAAACTTGATTATGGGAATTGCATTGCTTGTTTTTTAATTTTTTGTTTTTTTCTGAAGATTTTGTGTTGAAAATATTTTTGTCAAAAATATCTCAATTCTTGTGCAGTGTTACGTTGAATGTGAAATATGAATGTTTCATCTTTTATAATCAACTAACTTATAGATTAAAGACCTGCCATTGGTGATGCTAGGGAGATTAAGGAAAACCTCCATGAGTGTCCTGAAATCGTAACATCGATTCTCTACTAATTTTTGCCTAGTTGAAATTATGCAAGTAGCCAATTAAATAGTAAAAATGAACTTCTGAATGCTACTTTTTTATATAAAAAAAGTAAAGTAATAGTAACAATTGAAATTTGTGCATAATTTAAACAGTGAAAGAATGAGGACGAATAAAATAAAAGTGAAGTTTGTGATTGTGAGTATTATGTGGTTCTATGATAGGACGTCTAAAAGAGACTGTCCACCTTCGTGGCTGAGGAGTGATTTTAGTATGAAGTTTCGAATGTTGTTTTTCCTAAATTATTGAATGCTTCTATGCTTATTATTAATTTGGCCATAACTCATGTAAACTTAATTGAAGCACATATTTTTGCACGTCAAGCAGTTAGTGGTGTGCAAAAATCATTTTCATTACACTACCTTTAATGGAAAATATATATATATATATATATATATATATATATATATATATATATATATATATAGTATTTGTGAGAGTATCATTACTCAATGGCAGTGAATGTCAAATATCACCCCAGGCAAATTTCAAATTAAATTAGGTACAATAACTAGCAAATTTTGTTCAAGGCAGAGAATACACAAATGTAAATGAACTTTATCTCAGTCGATTATCATAGGTCTGTCGGAATTGAACTCTGTCACCATATTATACTAGGCTCTGCAATCTGAATACAACTCAAATAAAGAATCTTCTGTAATTTGGAATATTGCCCCGTTATATTTTTTGTTGGTTAGACGCTATTCCGTTTACTAACGTAGAGGATAAAACTTGAGTCATTAGTTTAATGAATTTTTAACAAGTAGCAACACAACTTAGACGGAACAGAAACTACCCTGTCAATCAAAATAATAAATAAATAACACAAACTACCCATCTAAATCAAATGCAATTTGCCGGGGAAAGGATCTTCAATCAGAACAACCATATAGATTAAGGGAGAAAGTTATATTTACAAACTTTTTGTTTACAAATTCTTACAAACTACACCATGTCTGACCGGTCATCCTTTAATCAAGAGTGTATTACCGGTCATACTTAGTGTAATTTGTGAAAAAAATTTGTAAACGGATCCTTCCCTTGTATTAAGATTAATAAATCCTTAATTCAAATGCTGTGATCTCTATATAAACCACCAGAGCCATTCTCTTCAATGCATACCAATTTACATTTCTCTTCTTAATACACACCTCAACAAGGCTTTTCTTCCAAAACTCATTAGCCATTGTTGATAAGAAATGGCTTCTTCTACCAACAAAAAACAGTACATTTTAGCTTTGTTCCTCCTCCTTGCTTTTGGGATATCCCAAGTAATGTCCCGCAAGCTGCATGAGCCATCCTTAAGAGAAAGACATGAGCAATGGATGGCAAAATATGGCAAAGTGTATCAGGATGCTGCTGAGAAGGAAAAACGTTTCATGATATTCAAGGACAATGTTGAGTTCATTGAATCATTCAACGCTGCTGCCAACAAACCTTACAGGCTCAGCGTTAATCACCTAGCTGATTTGACCATTGAGGAATTTAAAGCTTCCCGTAATGGATTCAAGAGGCCCCATGAGTTTACCACAACATCATTTAAGTATGAAAATGTTACTGCTATTCCTGCAACTATAGACTGGAGGATAAAAGGAGCTGTTACTCCAATCAAAGACCAAGGTCAATGTGGTAAGATAAATAAGATCATATCAGTACTTTATTATGCTGTTTGTTTGTTTTTTTTTTTTTTCCTATTTGGCACATTATCACCATGTGACATTAGGTCATAAGTTCGATTCATGTAATTAGTATCTTGGAGATAAGGTAAGAGACTGGAATAAATCTTTGGTGCTACTGTTGCACCAAAGATTTAGTGCATCCCATCAATGGAAATGTTACATGTCAGCCAAAATTCTCCTTTCTTGTCAAATTCTTTCTCTCTCCTCTGATGTGTAATACTCCCATTGGTAGGATGCATTTAATCTAAATGCAACATATGCACATAACATTTATTCAAGAGATTGATTGACGATTTTGCTTCCCTTTTAAAATCAATTTATAACTTTGCCCCTCTTCTCAAATTATATATTAATTTGAACACTAGTATATAGGTGCATATTAGTATATAGTTTGAGAAGATGGTTAGATTAGTATTTAGTTTGGGAAGGGGACCAATTGATAAAAAAAATTTAAAACAGTGACAAAATGATCAATCAATCCAAGGTAAGATTGTCTGTTGTGGACCATTTTCTGAACTTGCACACAGCAACCCCTTAATTTGCCCCAGTTTAATTGTATTGAAATGAATTGGATTAATGTTTATGTTTGTTTTGCTTGAAAAACCAGGGAGCTGCTGGGCATTTTCAACAGTGGCTGCAACTGAGGGTATCCACCAAATAACCACAGGTAAACTAGTCTCCCTCTCAGAGCAAGAGCTAGTGGATTGTGACACACAAGGTGTAGACCAAGGATGTGAAGGAGGTTACATGGAAGATGGGTTTGAATTCATTATAAAAAATGGTGGAATAACCAGTGAGGCCAATTACCCATATAAGGCAGTTGATGGGACTTGTAACAAAGTAACCTCCCCAGTAGCTCAGATTAAGGGTTATGAGAAAGTCCCAGTTAATAGTGAACAGTCACTCCTGAAAGCTGTGGCTAACCAACCAGTATCAGTTTCCATTGATGCTAGTGATGCAGGTTTCATGTTTTACTCTAGTGGGATTTTTACAGGAGAATGTGGAACTGGGCTAGATCATGGTGTTACTGCAATTGGTTATGGTACAGCTAATGGTACTGACTATTGGCTAGTGAAGAATTCATGGGGCACAGTATGGGGTGAGAAAGGATACATAAGGATGCAGAGAGGCATAGCTGCTAAGGAAGGTTTATGTGGAATTGCCATGGATTCTTCTTATCCAACTGCTTAAGGTGTTCAATTATGTACATTGTGTCTCATGCTTGTTTTTTTTTTTTTTTATTTGAACTTATGGCTATATGTATACATATATGTTCAACCACTTTAATTATACACTTATAGATCAATACATATACTTACATGAGCTTTCAATGTCAAAGAACAACATTGTTATATTTTAATCGTTTTCAAGCCTTATCTTCCTTTTTTCTTCTTCTTTATTTCCAGTATCCACCAATGCTAGGGATATATTATTGCCTATTCTAAGCCAAAGTTCTACAGTTTTATGTGATGAATGATTATCAGTTCTCCACCAGTTCATGAACCTGTCATTACTAGGTCTAGAAACTGGTGTGATTCTAGTGGGAACTGAAAACAAGTTAACAGTTCAGTAAATCGTTTTCCTTTCTATTTATTACAGATTCTTAAAATGTTTAGTTAATAATACAACTTAGACTCAACTTTAAAACTTGTAAACTATCGAAAAAAATTTCAGCTGATTTTTTACGGTACCTAATTTTAGTTTTATTGAATAGCATCATGTATCTTGAAACAAATGTCAAGGTAACTTCGTCGTAATTAGTTATGGTTTAGTTTATGGGTTAAGTGAGGGTCATGTCGCACGACACTCACTCACTCCAACCACACTCATAAAACAATATATGGGATAACACCGCAAAAAATTTAATTATTGTATTTTAATTAAATAATTACGTATTTATTGCAGTTTTAGAAATAATTACGGATCTATTGCAGAATGTGACGTCTTTTTTGGGCGTCACATGTGACGCCTCATTTAGGCGTCTCTAACATAAGGGAAGACGCCCTAATGGGGCGTCTCTCATGAGGTGTTGACACATGTCATTTTTTTTTTCCAAAAATAATAATAATTTAATCATAAAATTTCTGAAGGCCATAACTTTTGACTCGGGTATCCAATTCAAGTAATTCTTTTTTTGATTCCACATAACTTTTCGAAATCTACTCAATGACATCTCATTTGATATATTTTATTTCTCACAAACATAATTTATATTTAAATCAGGTAATCCTTCTTCCTTAGAGATTTAGAATATTTATTTAATTATTTCCTTTATTAATACAGATTTTTCAAATTGATTTTTGAGTTTAAATAACAAATCAAATATTTATTTTGTTTATTTAATTATTTCTTTTATTAATACTAATTTTTCAAATTAATTTTTGAGTTTAAATCACAAATCCAATATTTATTTTGTTTTCCTTATTAATAATAATTGTTACTTTTAATTTAAATCACAAACCAAATTTTTTTTATAATAAAAATAAAAAATTTATTTTTTAAATTAAATCACACATAAAATCTTGATTTATTTTTATATTAAATAACAAACGCAGAACTCAGAGGCTTCTAAGTTTAAAAATGTGACACATGCCAACACCTGACACGTCACCAATCACGTCTAAATTGAGTTTTAATCAAGAGGCAATCATGCCTAATTTAGGAGGCTTCTTGGTTTAACCGCTCTTATAATACCATTCTTGCAAATTAAAATTGTGTTTGTGAGAAATAAAATATGTCAAATGACATGTCATTGCGTAGATCTCAAAAAGTTATGTGGAATCAAAACAAGAATTACCTGATTTAGATACCCGAGTCAAAAGTTATGGCCTTCAGAAGTTTTATGATTAAATTAATTTTTTTTTGAAAAAAAAAATGACATGTGTCAACACCTCATGAGAGACGCCTCATTGGGGCGTCTTCCCTTAGATGAGAGACGCCTAAATGAGGCGTCACATGTGATGCCCCAAAAAGTCGTCACATTTTGCAATAGATCCGTAATTATTTCCAAAACTGTAATAAATGCGTAATTATTTAATTAAAATGCAATAATTAATTTTTTTTGCCAGTATAACATGTTTAAAAAAAAAGGGGTTTTGCATTCAACATTTAACATGATCACACAAAGTTTCTTACACACACAACATTTCGTGGGACCCGTATATTTTGAAAAAAATAAAAAATTATGGCACATAAAATGAATCTCTATAACATAACACAATCATTTTTCCTAAAACATAAATCTTATAAAACCAAAAAAAAAACATGCAAACCGATGGGTCAGCGAGACAAATTTTTATTTTCTGCGAGAGGACAATCACATAACCCTTAGTTTATGGGAGACTAGAGTACCATGTTACACCAGGAATTTTGCGGTGAGACAAAAAAAAAAAATATGGGGCCCATTTAATTTGTTAAAAAAAAAGTGGCTCATTTTTCTATGTACCAACGGGAAACTCAAAAATCCTCTTGCAACATGATATTTATAGGTTTAAACTTCTCATTCAACATAAGATCAAAATTTTAACAGCAGACTCATGAAGAGTCGTGCTTTTCATTTTAATTTTTTAATTAAATAGTGGACCTCATTTCAGGAGATCCCATTTTTTGCAGTTGCATAAGAAGTGATTTCCCAATATATATATATATATATATATATATATATATATATATATATATATATATATATATATATATATATATATATATATATATGGAGAGGCTTCTTTTGACTCCAGAGTAAGAATCATCTTAGTCATTGATGGGAGGAAATATTTCTTATGTCACTTGAGATATATTTATCTCCGTCCACCCAAAAACTACATCGTTTTATTTATTTATATTAATTCATTTATCTTTGAATGGTTATGATTCCTTTTTTCTCTCTCTTCCTTTATCACCATTGATTCATCTTTGTGCGGTTATGATTTAATGACCAGAGATAAAGTTATATCAAGTGACTTAAGAAACGATAAGTCAATATATATTTATATAGATAGACAGATAGGGACAGGATGTACTTACAACAAAAAAAGTTTACCACTCTTACAACCCATTTAATCACTCTTGATTTTTCGTTAATCTAACGGTTATAATTTATTGAAAATTAATATTTAATTAATAAATGTGACACAATAAATTTTATTAATTCCAATTGATTATAACCGTTAGATTGTCGGAAATCAACAGTGATTAAATTGGTTGTAAAAGTGGTAAAAAATTTTGGTGGTAAGTGGATCCGTTCCCATATATATATATATATATATATATATATATATATATATATATATATATATATATATATATCTCTCTTTCTTTATCATCATTGATCCATCTTTGTACGATTACAATTTAATGACCGGAGATAAAGTTATATCAAATGACTTAAGAAACAATAAGCCCATATATATCTCTCTTCATTTATCACCATTGATCCATCTTTGTACGGTTATTATTTAATGGCCAGAGATAAAGTTATATCAAGTGACTTAAGAAACAATAAGCGCACACACACACACACACACACACACACATATGGAGAAAAATTTACACACACACACACACACACACATATATATATGGAGAAAGATTTGTTTACAAACTTTTTTTTACAAACTTTTACAAATTATACTATGTACTCCTGGAAGTACATTACTAACCAAGTGTACTTTCGGGAGTACATAGTGTAGTTTGTAAGAGTTTGCAAACAAAAAATTTGTAAATATAATCCCCTATATATATATATTGTTTAATGTCTCTATATGTAGGTGTTCTGTCCGCGTGACAGAGATGTCTAGCCTAAAGCTAGTAGATCAATATAAGGCTGGACTCTCTCTAAGGTATCTATGGTGTAGATATCTAGAGATGGAAGGTCACTTACACAACTAATAATAGCCTAAGCCAATAGGGAGATGTGTGTGCAGAGTGAAAATATAACAGTAAGAGAAAGATTAGATCATACCTGTAAGCTTTATCTCCTATTCATAGAGTTTACTTGAGAGTATGAGAGTGTTGGGCCTTCTACTCATAAGCCCAATTCTTATCTTGCACATCTGCCATGTGATTGCCCTTTGTTGGGCTTTTAGATACCCAGTAGCTTGGTTGTCCAAGCTATTGGGGTGCTTTAATGTCCGAGCTATCCGACTTATGATAGCCGAGATGCCTTATTTGCATAACTTGGATTAAATTCTAGAATATCGCATTCCTATCCTTATTTTTGAGCTCTGCTCCAAGCTTCCCTTATTTTCATTATACTTTTACACGACTGTAGTTATTTCCCCCCAGCCGAATAGCTTGAGTATTCAAGGTATTGGGATGCAATATTTTAGAGCCACCTTTATCTCTATTTATCCAATATAATTCAATTCCCATAACCATCTATCCCAACTACTCAAGGCTCTGGGTTATGCCTTCAGCGTTTTGGTCTTCCGGCTTAAGTATCCGAGCTATTAAAGTAAGCTGAAGATAATTTAAAATAGCCAAGCTAATATTGCTCTTTCAACCTTATATCTCGGATACCGAAGGCGATATTGATATATCATGTTGATCATGTCATGTGCTGGATTATTACTTTGGACCCGCTTTTGGAGTCCTTATGTAACATCCCACATAAATTAGGAAGTTTATTTAAAATTGCCATTAGGATGCGTGTCTTGAGAACGAATTACATGTAGGTGTAGGTTAGGATTTATTTTAATTACAACATAAAAAAAAAAAACCCTAGTTACTATTTAGTAGATTACATAAAATGATGTTCATTAGGTGGTGAAATTGGACCCCATCTATCTCCTATGGGCTACGGCCCAAATGCTTTGGGGGAAGGCCAAGTCAGCCCAAAACTCTTAGCTAATCCTTTAACATATCTCAATGAAATCTGAATGCATGTTTCCTCATTGGTCAAAATCTGAATGCATGTTTCCTCATTGGTCAAAATCTGAATGCATGTTTCCTCATTGGTCAAAAGCCACAAACACTCCCTCTCATTACTTCACACTTGTGCGCATAATAGGAGGAAAACAAAGTGATATTCTGGTCATTTGTTAAAAATACAATCAGCACCAATTTAGTCTTTTTCACTCTATGCGCATAACCAAAAGAACCACCCAAAACTGATAGTGCACTCTTTGATTCAGAATCTAAACTCAGCCTATTCCTCTTCCCCCACAAAACTGTGAGTTCCCTAAGAGAAGAAC